TTGCTGCCCTGTTAGTGGCAGGGTAAGCTGCACACTGCCATCCTGTACACCCTTGAGCAGACAATATGGTCCAGTGCTCTGTGGGGTGGATGCACAACCCTGCTCTGTATCCACCATAGTTCACCGGGCCTGAGAAGCAACCTGAATGGGCCCCTGAACCAGTGCCAGGCTGCTCTCCAGCAGGCAGCTCCCCAGGCATGGCTCCCTGTGTCCCACTGCCCAGCAAAACCAGGCCACAACAGGGTCACAGTGCACATCTGCAGTAGTGCCTTGTGGCCTGCTCCCCACCATGAGCACCACATAGGAAGGGTTGGGTGCTTGCAGAGCTGCTCCGCTCCTGGCTTCAGTTGCTTAAGTGGGAAGCAACTGATTTTCTTGCACAACACCAACTCTGACAGTGCCTGACAAGTTGCCTTTGCTCAGCGCAAGGTCTGTGGGGACCACCTATGCCAGGTGGCTGGGTGGGATAGGTGCATGGGGTACAATGTGCTCCTGCCTATGCATCACCATTCCAAGCATTGTGCAGCACTAGGCTTCTGGCACACACAGGGCAGCACCACCTGCCCACACTGTCCATCGACCCTGCCCACAGTCGCCTTGGGGCTGTCCCTAGCCTCAAGCAGCCCAAGCATCAAACATACACCCAAGCTGGACCAGAGGCCACAGCAGGGCAGCCATGTGCATTACTCAACAGGCAGCATGTAATGAAACTCTCCCAGTTGCCTCTGGCTCTGTCACACGGAGCATTTAGTCACAACTCGGAGAAGGAGCAGAAGGGCTGGAAGCTGTCAGACCTGCTTAAAACCACCATAGCTCAGTGCTAACTTGCAGCACAGCAGTTGTGGCTGCAAGACATGTAGCCAGGCTGGGTAGAGCACAGCTCCCCAAACCATGTCCCATGCCATTACCAGGCCTTGCCCCAGTCCCCATCCCCCTGCATCCACTAGAAACCTCTGAGCAGCCAGAGGTCCTGTGAGGTATCAGACACTTGGCGACCTTGGTCACCACAACGGAGCTCTGGCCTCCCTGCTCATCCCACAGACAGCCTGACAAGTAGCTGGTGGGAGCCTTTTGCAGGAATAAAGAGTAGAGGCAACCCTATTGCTGGGCCATGCAATAAAGCAGGGTCCCCTGGCAGCAGGCACCTGGTCCCTTCCTGCCAGGGATGCAGTGTGACACAGAGGGAGCTTTCAGCAGCTCCCTGGGGCCCTGCTCTCTTGCTGCAGCACGCCAGCCCTGCCACAGCTGCCGTGCAAGCAGAACCACCCCTGGGTCACGCTGCCTCCCGTCACCTTTCTCCAGTGCCAGCTGCTGCAGAGAGCCACTCTTTTCCCACCTCCAGTGCAGCAGGCTCAGTGCAGGCTCAGCTACCTCCCAGGGCCAGCAGAAGAAGGTCCACTGGCCATGGAAAAGGGGCTTCTCGTGCCCAGAGACAGTGCTCAGCTCCTTCAGGCTGTGATTCTGCTGGCCCTAAGGCCCTCCTTGTCAACATCCCTGGCAGGATGAGAGGAAGTACAGTCCTCCTCCTGCCCCAGCCACAGGTCTCTCAGAGCAGAGGCCAGCTGGCACAGCCACAGCTGTGAGCAGCACTTCCACCTCTGGGGTCACTCAGCACAGGCCGTGTGTAAGCACAACACAAGCCTACCAAGGAACACAAGTGGATAGAGGACCTAACAGCCCTGATCATCACGAAAGGAGACAAGGAAGGATGCACAGAAGGATCAGCCCTCTGTACTCATTAACAAGGGAATCCATCTTCACCAGCAACACCTTCCAACCCCTTTGCAGCAAGATGGCAGGAGCCTGGGACAGGTGCAGAGGCAGTGCAGTTTGGACATGAGCAGGGAACAACGTGGGTGCAGTGCTAGGCAGCCTACAGAGTTCTACCCCTGAAAGTAGCCACATACCTGCTCCTGGAGAGGAAAGGATTCAGCTCCAGTTCTTCAGACAGCAGACATAGGCTCATCAGCCAGGTCACACACTGAGACAGGAAGGAGCTAACAGAGGAATCTTGGTACTGATTAGCAAAACGGTGCTGTGAGTAGTAGTGTTCTGAGTGCACTCTATCTACAGCTCCTCCTAGACTGCAGAGACACTAGCTTGAGCATCTCAGTAACTCCTCTGCCTGGCAAGTTGGACTTATTAGGGCTCAGAATTACTCTGCAATATAACTCGCTGTCTGATTTATACCCCTACCCTGGTGGAATACATCACAGAGTACTAGTAAATCTCTTAACATAAAAATCCCACAAAGCTTGCAGAAATGCTTGCAAGCACGTGAACATCAGTTTACAAAAAACAACAGGGAAAGGGGGCTTTCTTTCCCAAGTCAAACTGTTTAGCTGTTCACAAAAGCTGAAAACCCAGATATTAGTTCTACCAAGAAAGAGACAGAGATCACGTGTAGAGGTGCTGCTGCTGGGCTGTACTGGGAGGATCTCTGAGGAGGAAAGGCAGGCTCTGAAAACACACTCCTTTCACAAAGTAAGCTCTCTGTATTCATCCAAGAATGTCTGCAGTACAGGGTTCATCTGGTATAAATAAAGTACAAAATTTTACAATGTCTTATTATTTTAACAAAAATACTAAAAACTGAGTAAAAACTGAAATCAACACAGGAAGGGAAACTATCAGCCACAAGGAATCTCCATAAACATTTGTAGAAATCGGATAGTAAAAACACCTTCTCTATACAATAAAACCATCTTCCTGTCATCATCCTGTGAGATGGGCAGCAGCAGCACTGGGGTTAGAGGCCCAAAGACCGAGTTTGGGGGCAGCCGCAACTTCTGGGTCAGGTTAAAAAGGCTGTATCCAATAGACAGTGATGTCTCCTTCCTGGACCAGGCTGAAGTCCACAAATCAGTAGCGTCCAAATGGGTTGTTGTTCTGCTGTGTCTGTGTATCTGTGGAGGTCAAGGCAGAGTTAGACAGTGACAAGGTCAGGTTCAGAAGAGATCCCTCTCCTTACATCACCAGCACAGTATAAGGAGTGTGTTGCAGGCTAAGAGAAGAAAAATATAAACCTTTGTGGCACTACTTGCTCTGCTCATTTGTCTGAGCTTTTAGGCAGCTACACAGTTAGGATGCCACATTCTTAGAGGAACACATAGATACATGCCAGTCCCAACCCTGAAGCTTCTTCCAGAGCAGATCTCTCCATCCCTCATGGTGGAATTGGTGCACCATTAACAAAGACCTGAAAGGTGGCAGCTAGCTGGGAAGATGAGTTTATGGATAAGTTATTGCTGACTTTGAAAGCAAACCAGCCCTTAGGACTGCGTAACACCTGCAGCCATACAAGCTGCTCAGCTAGTGTCAAACGGTCATCCTTAGGCACACCTAGTTAGGTGTTAGTGAAGGTTTTGGTTACAACTACCCTGGCTCCCTGTCAGTATCTCCATATAAATTAAAGACATGCCCAAAGAACTTCCAGATGGCACAAGAAGGGCAGGAAACATGGTAAAGTTACATCTGAGAACCTCATGAACTTCCACACTGCTAGAGGTGATGTTTCGTGACGTACAGTGCTCATAGTCTACTTGGGTACTGTCCAGTTCATAAAATTCTCTATTTTTTTTAACCCTGAAACCCTATCAGCATGTTTGACCCTAAGTCAGACCAAGTAAAAGGAGACCAGTGCAACCTGGCTAGCCTGCTCTCCAAAATTCTGTTGGACAACGGCGTGTTCAGGGATAGCCTGGACCCTCCTAATGCAGCCTATCTTGGGCCCAAAGTACTCCTGTCCCCCTCCTACAGGCTCTTCTTCTTTTTATGTCCTGCTTTCGAAGACATCACAGACACTACAGATAAGAATTCCAGATGTTTGCTGGTGGAACTGATGCAAACCCAACAAGGAAGCACGGAAACTGCATGCTGACACATAGCTGCATTGGACCCACACATCTGTTCCATACAAGACAGCTCCATTTGCTGTACAGACAGGATTCAAAAAGATACTTAATTCTACTATATTCAGATTCTTACATGAGGTCTTCCTATATTCTAATGTCCTGGCTAGGATCCTTGCACAGACTTGTGGTTTGTGGCTTGGGCTAGTGGGAAATTTAACACATTAAAACTTCTGGTTTGGGAAGGGGTTTTTTTTGGTCACAAGGAGTAAGAATTTTCCATTAGGAACAATCAAGCACAATTTCCAAGCCCCCACTCCACACATTATTACATCTAACACAGTCTCACGCTTAATGCACTGTAAACAAACCCTGTACAGTCCATTTCTGGGCATTTTCATAGCATGTGTGCCATCTTTATGGCAGAAAAGCCAGTGAGGTGACAGTAAAACAGCAGGCTATTCAAAAGGAAACAGCATGGATACTAGGCTCCGTTTCTAGATCCCTCAGCCAGTAGTTTAACGCAGATTATAGGAATACAGTGCCAGAATGACACCATCTATGCCATTACCCTGTCTGCGATGGCAACCATGGAAGCCCACAGATCACCACAAACACAGTAAGTGTGCAGCAACACTTCCCAGAGTATCCTCTCTGTCTCCGAGAAATCTTGTCCTGATTACAACATGAACACAGTATCTCTGAGTCATCCACCAAGTGAGTGCCCTGGGACTACAGCCTCTCTGTGCTCCTCAGAGGTCATCTGCAGCAGAGGAAATACCTCTCTGAATGCTTTAGAGCTGCTGACTGGATCCTTTCAGGAAAGCAGCATGGCAGCCCCTACAAAGGCTCAGCTCCCTCCTCCCTCTGCAGGCAGCAGGGGGAAGGTCTGGTTGCTCACAAGCTGTCAAAGCAGTGCTTGCCCTGCTGCTGTGCCCCCTTGGGCCAGGAGGTCCAAGTCCCGTTGCCACCTCCCTGCCAGCATCATTTATGGCCACAGACAGCCTGGCTCGGCCTTGCTTCTCTGCATCAGAGTATCTGCAAGAGAAAACACCCGGGGGAAGACTAGCGACAGGATCAAACACACTAAAGCTTACTGGAAAGCTGCTGCTGAAGCTGTCGAACCAGAGCAGCTGTTTGCTGCTGCTGCTGTGTCTGCTGAAGTCCCTGGCGCTGGAACTGCAAAGAGAGAAATGTAGTTATAGCCACATCACCTGGCTGGCTGCCTTGGCATTCACACAAGCTCTGGGAAGTGCAAGGGAGGGAGAAGGGGAGGATGCAGCCGGAACACCCTTGATTTGTGCTGGAGTATCACATCACTCTGCCTCCAAGGGAACACTCACAATGGGTTGTTGTGGGGCAAGTGCCTGCATGCCCAGCCCAGGGGGCTGGCCCTGTGCCTGTGGCTGAGGCACTGTGGAGACCTGGGGTGGCTGCTGTGGCTGTGGCGGCTGTTGTTGCTGCTGCTGCTGCTGCTGCTGTTGCTGCTGCTGCTGCTGTTGCTGCTGTGAAGACAAAAGAGATGGCACCATGAGGGAACTGTCTGGTCAATGCACACAGCAACAGGAAACAGAAATTGCTGAAGAAGAAAGGACGTTCCATGCAGTAACATACCCTCTTAACACAATTTTCCTTACAGATATCTAAACTGCCAAATTTCACCAGGACACTGCCCTGGGCTGAGAAATGGCAAGAAATGCAGGGATAGTAACAAAATTCTTCTTCAAGATGAGGTATCAATGGATGGCAGTTAAAGAACTACAAGTCTACTGGTCAGCTGTGGAATGACCAGGAGCAAAGAGAATACAAGAATACAAAACAAGAGCTACTACAATAGGCTGGTTGGTTCATCTCTTGCCTCCTGGTTAAGATCAGCAATACTGACTTCACTGAGTATTTGCCCGACCTGTTTTCAAATTTTTTCCAGAGGTAGTAACAGAGCTCCTATAACTTCCCTGAGCAATCCACTCTAGGTCACAATTACTCCTACTACTGGAGTTTTCCTTTCTCTCTACTCTGAATCTCACATTATGATTTAAGGCTATTTCTTGTCCTACAGCCAAGGGACAAGAATAGGTAAGGTTTTTTTGGCTTTCTTTTGCCTCTGCCCCTCTAACTTGACACCCAGCTATTTCAGCCTTTCCTTCCCAGTGACATTCTCCAACTCTTTGATCTATGTGGCTGCCTTCTGTCACTCATGCCAGCTGGTCCTGCACTTCAGTACAAGGATTCAGATAAAACTGGATGCAGTGTTCCAATCTGGTTGTCGACAGAACTAGTTATGGTGAGAAAAATATTCAGCATGTTGAACTTGAGAGTCAAAATATACCCAAAAATCTCAAGGTTTTTCCATTTCTCCTAATTTTCAGGCATTTCTCCTATCTGCCAATGTACTTTTGAATTCACTAAATCAACAGAAGAATTTCTAGCAGAAATAGAAAACTACTAAATCCATCATAAAAACCCAACATGGTGATGCTAAGTACAGTTCTGATCATTGGCTCAAAAAGGCTAAGGTTCACACCTTGAACAGACTCAAAAAACAGACAAGAACACAAAGAGAAGAAAGGACATTGTCTTACAAGAGATTAGAAAAACCTGACCTACAGAAGCTGCAAGTGCTCTCTAGGAATACACTGGGTAAACATCAAGGAGAAAGAAGAGCCAGTAAACAATGGGACACAGCAGACAACAATAATTGAATACAAGTCACAAACACACTGAGGCTTAGATCAAGGATTCACCCGAAAAGGGAATGAGTTTCTAGAACAGCCTTTTGACTTCCATCTTAAACTAATGTGGACACTTGGGTTCTTGAAATGGATGCTATGACCTGGGTACACAAGAAAACAGACGAACGCAAATGACTTGGGATACCTCTCCTGACTTCGTAGCCTGTCTTCTTGCAACAGTCGAGTATGAACACATGCAAGACAAACCAAAAGGCCATCTATCCTTTCTACAAGCCATTGCATCATGACAGTCAACTCAAGCACCAGGAGTCTGTTCTGCATCTGGTATGACTCTGATCATGTAGCAGGAGTCAGAGTAACAGGGGACATTTTGGGTACTCTAGTTTTGTTTTTTTTCTTCTTTTTAAGCAATCAATGTCAGATAAAAGCTGAAAGTACTCATGAAGTTACTGAGCGAAGAGAAATGCTAGCAATTTGTCTGAGGCATGTTCTTTTTCTGAGTGATGGAGAATGCTAAAAGAAACCAAATGAATAGTCAGAGGGTGCTACTCATCAAAAGAACTAAAAGCTGCTGACTATCCTACAGTCTCTTGTCCACAGCAAGGCAGCAATTCTCAAATACTGCTGACTGCAGCTTTCTGTAGGAACCACTGTTTTGCTCACGCCCATCTCAGAACACAAAGTCTCAGCACTCTGTGCCATGTAAAGTCTCCCCATATTACACAAGGTTCACTAGGCTTGTCATAATTCTAGTTCACCAATTAACCCAAACTATTCCTGTGCTTCTCTGCCGATTCGATAAATTTCTGTAACTCCAAGAAATGTATTCATACCTGTATTTCATGTAAGTATTTAATATTCATAAGACCATAACGCAAATATATGGAATACTCATGTCTGTTGAGCCACATCTGTGAACTTCTTTGAACCTGAGAACTGGGTCTAACAGCTCACTTTAGACCAGTTTTTCACCATCCACTGCTAGATGTGGAGTACTGGGACAGATTTTTCTGGCACTGGAAACTGCAGCTGATGCTTATTTTGATCTTGTGAAAATGCAGAAATGCCCCTAAAATGATCTTGCAAGCAACAGTGCTACCCTGGTCCTCTATGGCGAGGGGGGTTTCCACTTGGAAGTGTTGCAGGAGCTAGAAACAAAGACAAGTAGCTCTCTGCACAATATTATGGGCTCAGCTGGAACAGGAAAAGGTGGGACGCAGGACACACAGGACTAAACAGACCGTTACTGCTCCTAACTTCCCTTTAGCTTATGCGGGGTGACTGACAAAAGGCAGTGCAGCAGGCATCTCCATCAGGAGTCATCAGCTCTAAGGGAAAGCCACCTAGCAAATTACTACAGACAGCCCCGAACAGAGTTGACAGCCTTCCTGGCACAGAGGTACAGAGCAGAGTTGCAGGCAGAGCTAATCAGCGATGGGTAAGTCTCCCTCAGCACCAGCAACCTTCGTCCTGGTCAGCATTCACTCACCCTCAGCATCTGCTGCTGCCTCAGATACTGCTGCTGCTGCTGGTCAGGCAGTATCTGGCTGGGTCGAATTCCCGAGGAGACTCCTTGCGGACCCAAATGGTTCATCCCACTCATCATTGGGGCCTGCTGAATTGACTGGTGAGGAAATCTGCACGAAAAAAGGACAAGCTCATGGAGTTAAATATTCAAGGGCAACAGCTTCTTTAATCCAAATGCAACTTCTGTCATCAACAAGATAGCCCAAATAGCCTCATGCAATCCACGCTGCCTCTCTGCAGAAAGGTGAGAGTTACCAGGGGCCCTCAAGGGTTTCCTCCACTCCATTTTTCTAGAAGCTTAAAATAAAAGTCCCCAGCCCACTCTTCCGCATGTTTTCCCTGCTGGATTTGTGTCTGCTCAGGAAATCTCAGATCTAGACCTTGGCAGGTGATCTGCTGGTTAGATTTAAAACAACAACTATGACTTTCCCAGGTAATTTTTCTCATACTTTACAATTCCATCTCTTGTCTGGCTGGTAACACTGTCTCCTGCTTGCAACTAGCATCTCTGAATTTCATGCTGTCTCTGTTTCTTCCCAGGAGTGAAAGAACTCAGCTGCTGTATAACATGGCACAGAGAACAGGCTTTTCACGGAGAGCTGTTAGAGTTGTCTCAGCAGAGTAGAGATGCCCTTGATGAAACACAGCTTATTAAAACCTGGTAGGGTGGAAGTACCTCTGTGTGTTGCCCAAGGTGTGCCCATAGCCAGGAGCCTGCTGGTGCACATAGCCGCTTGGTCTCTGCTGCATTTGTCTAACAGGATCCACCAGGGCAGGATTAGAGCTGGGGTGGGAATTCTGATAGGGTTGGCCAGAATAGGTAGGAGGTACCATCGTGCCTGACTGGGAGGGGTGCTGCTGAAGGCCTATGTGGGAGACGTAAGGTGTGTAACCCTGAAATGAAACAAAAAAACCTTTATCAATCATGAAGTAAGGTACAATAGAGAATTTGGAACCCAGCACATCAGTCTCCCATAAATACTGTCACAATGCTGTTCATCTCTGGGTTCAGAGACATGTTGCCCAGTACATGGGTGAGAAGAGCCAAGAGATTTCAGGATTCAGCAGCAAAAATGAAGATGCTGCCTTGTGCTGGAACCAGGTTCCGGTCTTACCTGCAGTCACTGTCACTGACCTGGGAGGGCTGCAGAGCTCCATACGATGCAGTGGGAGCCATCTGTCGCACGGGCTGCTGTGCCATTATGCTTTGACCCTGCTGGAAGGTAACAGAGAAATGCTTCTTTCAACATCTCTAACAAGCAGGAGACTATCACTCCCTTCTTCGCAGCTCCCACAAAACCAGACAAATACCTTCACTCCTGAACCTACCAGGCTGCCACACAGCATGCAGATGTTAACCACTTCGGTCTCCCCCTGATTTAGGACAAACAGGCGTCTAACATCCTTACCACCCCACAGCCAGGATGTGCTCCTCTCATCACTGTCCAACTGCCACAGATGATGCAGTGCACCACTCTGACAGCCTCCATCAACTGTTAGTGATGTGAGCCCAGCAAAGCAGGTGGCAAACACAGTGCCACTAGAAGAATACACACAAGAGACATCTTTCCAGGGCACAAAGAGGAGACACGGTTGGAGAGCTCTGGTTAGAAGAGGTAGCCCCAGCTAAAATCTCAGGCTTACTGTACTGTAGGGTCCAGCAACAGCAAGAGCATAACTCTGACTTACCAACTTTGCTTGAAGCTGCTGCCTCAGTATCTGTCCCTGGGACACAGGAGGCTGCTGTCTGTAGACTGCTGGCTTGTAGGAGGGGTCAATGCCCATCATGCTCCCCATCCCTGGAGGCAGCACACCACTATAAGGAGGACGACTCTGAACAAGTTTCCCCAGTGGCATGCGTACAGGTCTGTAGGATGTATCCAGACGAGGACCACCTGCAAGAGGAAGAGAAACACACTGACTAGTCACATGCTATTGCTGAGCCTTGTAGCTCCAGAATGACTGTTCATCACTGTATCTAGACACAGGACAAACAAAAGCAAAAAGTGTACAGATCTACGTAGGACCACCTCACAGAAGAGGTTCTTACGAGAGGTTCCCAAAGAGATGCAATATGCTCACCTCTTCTGTGCACCTACCTGCTGGAAGAGGCTGATTCTGGGTGTAGAGACCCACTGGTGATTGCCCATATGCCAGCCGAGACATAGTGCTTCCTGACTGGTGATGCAGGAGATCTGCAGGCATACCGACTCCATATGAAACCCCTCGGCTAGGGCCCAACACAAAATCCTGCAAAGACAAAGAAGTAAGAAAGATCAATGTGCGCTGGCAATTAAAGAATAGTTTAAGAGTATGAAAGGGTTTCAGAGTGCACAGGAGGAAGCCTGGGATGCTATGTGAGCTGGGCAGCCTGCTTCCCTCCCATCAGGTATTAAGAAAGTGTTTGCCCTGCCATGCTCTAGACTAGAGAGAGCAGGATAGAGCTCCAGCACTCCCAGATGAGAGAAAACACATGCTATCTTCACCATTACACCACTCTCAGCTCCTTAGGAAGACTCAAGGGAGTGCTGTGTGACTAGAAAGGGTAGATATAGGAGGTCCATAGCTGTTGGGCAGTCAATTACCTCAGTTTTGCTGGCAGATTGATTGCGTTTCTTGGTTTTGCTCTGTTTTTTCTTGCGTTCTTCAGTAGAGGTGGCAGGATTGGAGCTTGTTTTATCAGCCTTGACTGGTTCTGCAGCTTTCTTCTCTGGCTCTAAAGCCACAGGTGTAGGAGGCTCCTCCTCTTCAGGGGGCAGTGGCAATGGCTCCAGATAGTAACTGCGGGGCTTGGGTTTTAAGTGCGTGTGGTACAGAAGAAGTCTCTGCTGCTCCTCAAATCTAGACACCTTACGATCCACCCGGACTGTCCCAAACCAGCCCCAGGAGAGGGGGGCTGAGTGCTTTAAGCCCTCAAACAGATCCCAAGGGGAGATCTTCTGCTTTGTAGAGACCTGCAAACCCTTTAAAGCAAAAGAGATAAGAACCTCCGAGTCCCTGTTGCTTTTCCTACAACTGCAGAGGAAGCTCTACACTTTCTTCAGGCTCTACGCCACATGTCCCAGTAAACAGCTTAAGCCCTTACTACTGGTCCCTGCTCTTCCACATGGCAAAACAGTAATTTCTAAAGGCCAGTCTCCTTCATCCTAGCTCTACCAATCTTCTGTACACTGCTACTGTCCAGTAACTCGTGACAGGGATTATGGGTTTTCTCTGTATGTTTTATATAGCCATAAGTACAAAATCAAAGTCTAAATAACTTCTCAGGCCATAACACCATCTATCACCAAGCATTAAAATCCAGATTCGCCCTTTCTGGAGACAGTTATGTGTCAGCTTATCTATGTACAGCCAGCCACTTCAAGTTCACCAGGCAACAAGGTACTGCATATAGATGCCTCCCAAGCTGTGTTGACTCAAGGCATCAGAAGACAAAGTGACATCTGCATTCAGCTGTAAAAAAAAGCTTCACATACCTCCTTCTTGAAGATGGAGTCAAATCCAGCTATTTTATTGCCTTTGGTGTCAATGAGGGATCCCTGAGGTTCACAGGTGATGACATCTCGGGTCTGCTTGGGAAGTGGCAGTAGCTGTCGTACCTTCTCCAGACTGTCAGACTGTCGGTCCCCCAGCTCTTTCTGCAAAAGTGGAAGACTTGAAGAATCACTCAGGAAATATCATCCAAACCCCACCTGTGCCTCTTCTGGTATCAACCTCCATGCCTGCATTACCTCTCATCTTTGTATGCTTCAGCCCTAATTGGGGCCACCACCATTGCTTCATCTAAACAGCAGCAACACAGGGCAAGTACCATTCATGAGACACAGGTAAATCTCCATAGTTGGACAGTAACAACATAACACACTCTGCTCCCCACAGAGGGCCTAGTGTCTCTCACCCTGAGTTTCTTGACAAGATTCATGTAGGCCCGCTTGTTCTCCTCCATGCTGCCCTGAGAAATGCTGGACATATCAGCAGCCAGGGTGCCATTGATGAGAACACTCAGCATGTCCAACACGGTGGTGAAGAGCTCACTGTTGGTCGGAGCAGAAAGGTCAAAGTCATCTGAGAAGCAGATATAAAACCTCCGCCATCACTAACACCAATATTAGATTGCCAAGAGTGCTGCCTACACTCAGAAGTGCCAAGCACTCTTCAGATTAACCTCCCACACTAATCTTCCTTTTGCTAATACACCGCAGGGTGTTCACACTCAAGCAAAGTGCAGTATCACAGACACAAGACAGGCCTCCTGACAGCTTCTCCAAAATGCAGGTCCAGACTGAACTCTCCCCTGTTTATCTCTCTGCACCTGCAAAGCCAAGTTTGCTCTGAGTATGTCAGAATGCACTTGGATACTAGGACCTAGCTTGTAGCCTGCTTTTATTCCAGTCAGCTGTCACAGTACTTCTGACAGATTTTCTAGAGAGACAGCTAGTTCACATGAGAAGAGGGGCCATGCTAACAGCTGCCTTCCTTGGGAAGTGTATGGATCAGAAGTCAGACAGAAAGTTACTTGTTTGACTGCATGTCCACGGTGCCACTGCTGATTATGTCCAGGAGAAGCACAGCCCATTCAGTTGTCTGCTGTGTACTGCGTTGAACTGTGTCAAACATTCCCCCCACCTAACAAAGAAAAATAGTTTAGTCACAAGAAAATGCTAAAATTCAAAAGTGAGAAAGGAGTCCAAACAAGAGCAACTCCGGTGCTACAGCAGCTCCTGCTGAGAGCTGAACGGGACTGCAGTCAGCAGGACAAATCTCAGATGCAAGTTCTAGTGCTGTGGACTGCAAAAGCACTGAAATGGGAAGACATGTCTCCAAAAGAAAGACCAAGGCTGTGGATTTCATCCTGGCAAAACAGACCAAGGGAATTTTTCCATGCATGCTATCCCACTCAGGGCTCAAGACCTAGCAGCAGTGTAAGTGCCTCTCCTACTTCCTTGTGTCAGGACATATGTAGCCCCTCCTGTGCGTGTGTGTGTGAGTGCATGCAACTTTGTGCATGTTTCCCAAAAAACAGGAGGAAAGGCAGACAACTCTTCATGCTCTATGGTTAAGCTCTTTTTCTGCAACTGCTCACCAAATTCAGCCGTAGTTTCAGGGCCTCATGCATCAGCTGCTTGGCTTTGCAGTCATCTTGGTATTGATCTTCCCGCCAATTCGTAACAATCTAAGAAATTTACAAGAGTAGACATACCTCACAAACTGTATGCTGAAATTCACAGAAAGCTGCTTGTACTGTCCAGTGACTCAGCTTGAGCACCCTATATCAGTCAGACAACATCCCGGAGGACATGCCAAATAGCCTGCCCATCAGAGGAACAACCCCTTGAAGAAAGTGAGGCAAGAAGCAAGACACCTACCTGCTGGACCTGACTGTACAGAGAGGTGAGAAGGCCTTCCCGCTGCTCATCCTGTCCTTTCAAGCATGTTAGCACAAGTGACAGAAATGGCTGCTGGCTCAAAAGGGACATACTGCAGAGAGAATAGAGACAGAGCTATACTGCCAGGCTGGGGGATCAGCACAGCAAGCACTGCCTGCCCTTTCCCCAGGACTCACCTCTTCTGCTTCTGGCGGTCCCTCTCTTTGCGGGATGACGACCCCAGATGTTGTCCTTTCTCCAGTTCTTCTCCAGCAGCTTTCAGCACATGGCCCTGCACTGATGTTGGAAGCTTGGCAATTAGAGGGGCCACCAGCCACACTCCTGATCTCTCCAGGGAGCTGTGACAACACAGGAGAAAAAAAGTAGTTTGCAATCTGACCTATGATTCAAAATCGACTACAAGGCAGCTGCGATGCTGGGACTACACCTACCTGAGAATGGGTTTGGATTTGTTGCTGGCAGGTGTAGCACTTGCTGAGCTATTGATACTGTTGACTCCACTGCCTGCAGAGCTAGCAGAGCTGGTCTCTGCTGACTGCTGGAATACCTCAATAGTGGCCTTGGCTATATTTTCTAACAAGGAGTTCATCTCCTGGAGATAGGGAAGAAAGAGACAGCCAAGTCCTTCTCCGAGAGCATCCACTTAGACGGCTTTCATACCTCAACACAACTCAGTACAAACCCAGTTTGACAACTTCCCCATGGCTGCTGGTCTTCAGGTCTCAGACTCACCACATCCTTCTCATGCTTGGCTTTTACAGACCAGACTCTGTCTTTGTTTACTTTCTCCCTATTTCCACTTCCACCAGGTCACCTCCCCACCACTTCACAAGCAGCCACTTCAGCACTGGCAATACACAGTACCTCTAAGCACAAACTCACATTGTTTGCTGTCTGCTTAATCATGAGCTGCAGCTCCAGCGAGGACTGCCTCATGGTCCACTGGTCCAGATTCTACAACACACATGCATACTTCATGTAAGTCCTTTTTCTCAGTTCAAACTACGTCAATCCACACCTTTAGTTCCCATGGTAATGAGTGTCAGATCCCTCAGAAGGCTGAATTTTGGGCAACTCCACTCATAATGCTAAATTAGGCAATTACTAGGATACTCAAGATTCTGCTAGAAGCTTGCACCTGTAAGATGCGTTTAATCCTCTGACGCTGAGGATTTTCTCCTTCCTCACTGTCCAGCAGCCGGTGTGGATAACAAATCAGCTGCATCAGCCTCTGGGCCTGTGTGCTGCTCAGGACAGGATCCTGCAAGTCATTGCTGTCTTCACAGAGGGACTTCAGACATCGCTCACCTACCCACTCCTGTAAGACAAAGGCATAGTCAGCACAGCTAAACTGACATCTGATTCCAAACTAGCACCCCTGCTTCCTTCTCAGAGAGATGAAGGGAACATATCAAACTCATTTTGGATCTTAGGAAGAAATTCTTCAGTATGAGGGTGGCAAGACTCTGGCATAGATTGCCCAGAGGTTGTGGATGGCTCCTCCCTGGAGATGTTCAAGGCCACGTTGTATGAGGCTGAGAGCAACCTGGTCTAGTTAAGGACCTGCAGGGAGGTTGGATTAGATAATCTCAAAGGTTCCTTCCAACCCAAGACATTCTATGATTCTATAAAAACCTTATTAGTACACAATTACGCCTGATAATAATTTCTCTTCATGAACAGTACTATCCTGATTCAGCAGGCATCAGGCACAGAACAGCAATCGCAACAGAGGAAACATCAACTTTTGCAAGTCAGCAGTGTTGAAACACTCCTGTTTCTTTTCATAAAATTTAACAGTACACAGTCGCTGCTATGCCCAGGCCTCATCAATAATGCTACTTGGGCTCAAAAGATCACTTAAAATTATTTTCTGCACAACAACGCCCTGGAGCTGTCCTAAATTAAGTAATTCAGTGCTGCAGCTACAGGTAAACTAGAATATGTGTTAGGGAAAAGCAGACCCCTTAATTCTCAAATAATGATGGAAAACACACTACCATCCTTAGTAAAAAACAATTCTCAAAGCCTAGAAGAAGAAAAACTGACTGGACATAAGCCATTGATAAAATCACAAATCATGAGAAGACAGAAAACTGTTATTGTCAGTCCCTCAATTTCAGTTGGTGGTCCCTAAATGTACGATAATAATAAAGGCAGCAGTTTCAAAAACAAACGTGAGTTGGTACTTCTTCACACAATTTACAATCAACCTACAGCATTCATTATTGCAAGATTTTTTCATACTGAAAATCAGTTAGGCAAATTCATGAAATTAAAATCTACAGAGGACTACTATGTAAGCACTTCTGCAGCTGCAGAGCAAGCCTAATCAAAGAATTCTTCCAATGAAAAGTGACAACCAGAGGAAAAGAGATAAGGATCCAGTTCATGAAGCACAGCTGCTGGTGCTAAGCCTAGAAAGCTGGCAACAGTCCTGCTCAGCAGCAGACAGCACTCTAAGCACTAAGTGGAGCACAAAGATCAGAAAGGCTGTATCTCTGACTTGAAACTCTTGTGAAACCACAGCCTAGATCTTCAGCTTCACCCGAGATGAAGTTTCCACTTCACCAATATGCATTATCTGGTGATTTTTCCAATGCCTATTGCATTTCTCCCCTTCAGTGTCATTATATCATCATCTCCTGAAACTTCCCTTTCTCGTGAACATAACATGCATATCCTTGGGAAGACCCTTTTTGTTACTTGCTCAGCTTCCTATATGGATTCATACTTCATCTCTAATCCACTTTATCGGTATAATCTCACAAATAAGTATCTTCAACCTTGAGGGACTTGGAGCCTCTCTTTCTCTGAAACGTTTCTTTATAAAACAGCCACCTCTACAGGCTTCATATCACTGAAACAGAACCCCTCATCTACCTTTTCACAGGCAAAACTATGAACATGTTCTTCAAGCACTGTGGACAACTCTGCCATTCCAATCATCAGATTCAGGTTAGTATCTTTCACTCAAGCCTTCTTGGTTCCCACTGTGGTTTATTACAGCCCTATAAAATCAACCTTTTCAAAAGGCCAGTGTCCTGGTTTTAGCTAAAAACCCCAATTTTGTTTAGTGATTTTTACTTTCCAGATTAGTCTCTTCTAAAAGGCTGCATTTCCTGAAGTTTTTGCAGACAGTTTTTGGACACTGTCTGCTACTGGCAGTGGTAACACCTGATGTTTACAGTTACTGTTTTTGCAGACAGCGTGTGCTACTGGCAGTGGCAACACCTGATGTTTACAGTTACTGTCTGGGACTGGGATGCAGAAAGGCTTTTGCTGATATTTATTCCTATAGTGACCAAGGCCACTGCTGGCTCTTGTGTGCCACACTGGGGGTGCCGGGTAGTAAGAGGGGTCACAAGGAAGTAGAAGGTTGCACCTCCAGGGGGTAATAGACAGGACAGGTGACCAACGAGAGTATTCCATTCCACATACCTCGTATTTAGTATAAATTGAGTGATCACGAGAGTTTCTGCCCTTCTTCCTTCTTTTCCTTTTTCTTCAATGGCCAGTGCCCAGGGAGGACTCTGTCTGATCTCCTGCTTTTGACCGGATCCTGAGTTCCTGAATCCAGCTCCCTTTATCCAGCACCCTGCTGCCACTGAGCCTGGGGCTTCCCCACTGTCTCACGCTCTGTGGCATCAGTGAGGATTGCCATGGCGAGGGGGAAGAGAGTAGGGTTCGCTATCGGGCTTATATATAGTCGTATATAGTTTCTTTATTTTTATCATTTAACTATTATTTCCATTATTGTTTCATTAAAGCTCTTCTAGCTTTTCTTTCCTAATCTGTAAGTCTCTCTGCCTCATTCCCTTTTTCTTCCCATTTGGCGGGGGGAAGAGTGGGTTAGAGGGCATCTGTCTGTGTTTAGTGGCCGGCCCAGTCCTAACCTGCGACAGCCAGTCACAGTTACATTTATTAATTTAAACAGGCTACAGGGCAAACCAGCTACTATCTGCACTTAAGAAACCTTCAACTTAATTACAGCATGTGCTCATTTTCCACACCCCCTCACACTGAAGTCTATGCAACATTTCTGAGTCGGAGGAATCACAATCTTTAAGGCATTTTACAGGCATTTCAGCATCCATCACTCAGACTGGAGGTGCTAATATAAACTACATCATTTTACCAGCCCTTAACAGCTGCATGAACCCTGCAGGAGCTCTGGCACAGTTTGATGGTACTCACTGGTGTCTACTGGAATGCTCACTCCTACATAACCAGTGCTGCCAACAACTGGTATGAGTATTGATACCTCACTGCTACTTGCTCCTGTGTACACACACGCTTTCTACCTGTTTTGAGTCCTTCCTATGTAGACTGGAACCAGAAAGGGTATATCTACTTCTGTCAATGCTACAGGCAGGTTTCAGTAACACCAAGTACATTGAATTTATGCTCATAAATGGCTCAAATTCTTCTTTGGTAACATTGCTATACAGTGAGCCAATTAATAAACAACAGCATCACAAAGCATAAGAACAACACAGCACTAATGTGGTTTGTTTACAAGTCAGTAATACAGAATGCAGGTTTCAAATTTTAACGCTGCATCTTTCTTGTTGACAGAATAAATCTGCAATCAAAGGCAAGGACACCCTTCAACATCCATTTTCATACAGTAATGGCAACAGCCACTCCACTCTGCAACCAAGTACCTTATTAGCCAGGCTTCAGTTCCTCAGTCACCTTTCCACAAAGGAACAGAAACACTAGTGCTGTCAGAGTAGGCTAAGCAAAAGATTTTTGCTGTTGTTCTTTTAATTAAACAGAGCACTGCAAAGCCTAGAGAGACATTAACAGCCTAGCTGCAAGCAACACCTAAGCTGTGTTCTGAAAGGCACAAGCCCTCTTTCTCATGCTTATCTTCTCGCCTCCAGCACACACCTCAGCAAACCACTTCCAGCACTCCTCTCCTTTGGCATAAGCCCTATGCTGTCCCCTCGTACTGCAAGGCCTGGTTCTTGACAAATGTTTGCCTCTTTTTTGCTAAAGGTGAACAATCCTTAGCACCATCACATAGCAGAACCACTGCAGGTTCTTTAAGGATTTTTCAAAGAAATACCTGTCAAACCCAATCTGCAGAAAGTCATACAGGATATATCTGTCATATGGGATACAGTCTGCAGAAGAAATAAGGATAAATGTAGAGTGGGACAGACTTACCTGTTGACATATACTCCTTAGTACATACTTGGCATAAATATCCAAGCTAGCTGTTTCTACAGTTACTACCCGACTGCTGGCCTTCCTGGTGCCCAGCTCATCATCCATGAGATCATCAACACCTCCAGAGTGGGAAAAGCCAGAGCCTTTCAGTTCTGCATCTCCTGTAAGAAAAGCACAAGTGTCACTTAATCATCAGTGTTAAATCCAAAGCCTGACCCACAAAAAAACCATCTTGAGCTTTAGTAAACTCTCCCTATGATCACTGATCTCTCTGAAGCTAAGAGATACGAAGCACATTTACAGGTCAGGCAAAGGCTTCAGACAAGCCACACATCCACCAAAACAGATCTCCTCTGGCCTTCTATACAACCAACACATGTGATATGGTGCTTTTCTCCCACCCCATAAAAACATTCATACAGGTACACACCCAGAACAAAGACAGCCTTCAGCACTGCAAATACTGCTCCATCCACAATACGATTCTGGGAAGCTGCCAGTAAGTGATTATTCCCACTGTGGGTTTGTCTGCAAAAATGACAATGAGGAAGAGCAATACTCATCAAGAGAGAAAGGTGCAGGTTCCAAAGCTGCCTAAATTACATGCCAGCCAGTTACCTTAGAATCCAGTTCAGAGAATCCTGAGACTAGCCCTTTGGCACAGTACCAATCACGCTATGACAACCGAACCATGAAATCTGAATGGAAAATAGTCTGGGTGTCATAAACTCCAAGCTCCAACAGCACCCTAATCTAGAATACAGGCTAGGTTTAGAGATCTTAACATCAGGAAACTGACGAGGAGACAAGAACAGAGATTCCTATCTGATGATCTCCATCATCAGACAAAAAGAGTGCTGTAAGATAGCAGCTTCTGGCACCAAGTTAAGAGGCTATAGAAAGATCAAGATATAAAAAAAAAAGAAGTGATCATTTCTTTAATGGCTTAGTGACAGCAAGGCCACCTCCACTGACTGCCTCTGAGGGCTTCCACCCCAACATGCCTGGCTACCATGGAGTAACATAAATAGAAGGATATTTTTCTCCATTCTCTGCAGAATGAGTGTATCAGGCTTTGCCTACTTTGTTCAAACCAGGCAGGTCACGATTTCTAATCATAGGGTCCAGTATCTCTTTTCTTGAGGTGAAAGAGCCTCAGTACTTTCACAATAAAGAATCACAGAATCATAGAACGGTTTCAGTTGGAAGAGACCTCCAATATCATCGAGACCAACCTTTGTCCTAGCCTTATCAACACCACTAAACCATGTCCCTCAGCACATCTACTGTCTCAAACACCTCCAGGGATGGAGACTCAACCACCTCCCTGGGCAGGCTGTTCCAATGCCAGACAATCCTCTAAGCAAAGAAATTCTTCCTAATATCCAACCTGAATATCTCCTGGTGCAATTTAAAGCCATTTCCCCTTGCCCTGTCACTGCCACTAGGGAGAACAGATGAATCCCCACCTCCCTACAACCTCCTTTCAGGTAGTTGTAGAGAGTGATAAGGTCTCCTCCTCAGGCTCTACTTCCATTCACTTACTGCCATCTTGCTGGCATGGGTTTAGCTGTGGAGTCTTAAACAGATGGAGTAAAATTCGGCAAGTCAGACGTGCTCCTGGTTCTGAGTCCTGTTCACTGCAGGCTGTGTAAAGAAAACAGTCAACCAAGATTTCCTAAGCACCAGGACAGCAGACTCTCAGTCCAAAAGCTATTCAAAACACAATACCCTGGAGCAGCCAGTTGAGAAGCTGCAGCAGACTTATTCTATTTACACATATGGAGCATGTGCAGCAATTAACATGCAAGTGAGCAAATCCATCAGTATTATCCTCTGGTTGCTCCATCTTCCCAGCTTCACCCTGACAGAGACTGGATGCTGCACCCCCCCAGAGCAAAGCTAGGAAGGTTGATGGCAGAGAAAAGGCAGTGACTCCAACTGGTCAGCTTGCTGCTCTAGACAAAATGCTAAGCTGAACAGCAGTGGGAGGTGTACTGCTGGAGTTCACAGCTGAGTACATTGGTCAGGCAGTGTGACTGATAACATATCTCTATGCTTATTTCAGCTTGCACACAAACTCCAGACCGCAAGATGTTGAAAAAAATCCAAAACTTAGCACAATCAGGTTTTAACAGAAACTCTATAAAGCAAAGTATTAAGTCAGTAAATATCACACTATGAAAGTAGTATTGGAGGGATGTTTCACAACTATGGGGTTCACAAAGTACCCATCAAGCACAGGCTTTGAGCCAGAACTAAGACTAAGACCAGCTTTCTGCAGGTATGCACTTACCAGCATTTAGAAGTGAGGGGATTGCAGCACAGCGAATCAGGTCCTCCAGCAGCAAGCACTGCCGGGCAATGAGAATGGCAACAAACGTGGCCAGGGAATCATGGAAAGATAAGTCACTGACCTGGAAGAGAGGAGATCAGCCAGTGATCACAACAGCCTCATTCCCTCTGTTACCAATTCCTCAGCTTGCCTAGGAGCTGGGTGGTAGAAGGGCCGATAACCCCAGCTCAGCGTCCATGATCAGCCCAGGCTGCAACAAATACCAAAAGCCCCGGTATTCAAAGCCTTTCCCCTGTCCTCAGAAAACAAAGCCTCCATCCCTTGTTCATTTCTGCCTTCTCCCAAGGGATCCCTCCACTCCTGCTTCAATTCTTTTCCCCTTTTGAATGTTTGCACTTGCATCAACATTGCAGAGGAGATCATTGAAGCCACAGGTCCCATTATTGGAGGAACAGCACAAAGCTTTGAGCACACCCAGCCACTCGGCGCTTAGAGACTTGCAGTAGCCAGTTAGCTCAGCACACAGGATAGCAATGTCGTTCACCCTGTTAAATAAATAATGAAAAAAGCATAGGGTCAACTTTGCTACTCATGCACCCATCAGGTCAGTGATTCTCTAAGCGACCCCAGCCTTGGCTCCTTCCTCACACCCCACAACAGCTATGGAATGGCTACTGGCTTCCTTACCCTTACCTAATGTTGTTACTATCTCAATAGAACCATGAAAGTTCTGCCTCTCACCTGTCTGGATCATGGTGTCCCACACACACATGCATAAGTGCATTACAGACAAAACTGTAGCGGTTGGCTGGGTTTTCATTGAGGCTCTTGCCCAGATTGGTGTATGTGAAGTTATGTGCAGATGGATTTTCAATAGTGTCAATCATAAACTCTGGTTCCCATAGCATGTTGGAATCAGATGGCTCAACATTGCAGTAGATTGTGTTCTTCACCTTGGAGCAGAAGTCACTAAACAGAACAGGAAAGAGAGATTAAGAACACAAGAAACTGCGTTTACAAAGCAAAGCAATCCTGTGCAAGACAAGCCCTCCCTGGACAAGAATATGTGGAAACTCAAGATCACAGTGTACCAACAAAGAATGAAGCTGTTTCTTTGCTGTGGAAGCACCTGGAAGTTACCTGTGGGCTCAGTGAACACAGAATTGGAATGGCTACTCCAGGTCAGATCAGGGAAACACTTGGCTCATCCTGCAGAACAGTCGGTGCCCACGGAAGAGTTTAAGAGCGACGCAGGCACAAGGAGTACTGCTCCAGCATCTTTCTCCATCCCACTGCAACTTAGGGCTCATAGATTTTCAGAGTTAAAGATAATGCTCTCAACAGATTTTCCTCCTGCAAATTTGTCCACCTACTTTCTGAATCCAGTAGATTCTATGTTGTGAATGTCAAGAATGAGTTCCATGTTAACTATGAGAACTATGAAGTTTATTCTTTTGTTCCAAAGCTTCCACTTGTTATTTTTTATTTATGCCTTTCTATGCTTGTATTTTAAGACATATTGAACATTCAGTTTACTTTCCATATCAACCAGAACTTTACATAGAATCACAGAACCATTAAGGTTGGAAAAAGACCTCTAAGATCATTAAGTCCAACTGTCAACCCAACACTACTGACTACTAAACTATATCCTGAAGTGCCATATCTGCATGTTTTCTGAACATTTCCAGGGATGCAAGTCCACTTCCCTGGGCAGCCTGTTCCAATGCCTGACTACTATTTTAGTAAAAAAATTTTTTCCTAATATTCAATCTAAACCTCCCCCGGTGCAACTTGAGCCCATTTCCTCTCATCCTATCACTAGCAATTTGGGAGAAGAGATCAACACCCACCTCACTACAACTTCCTGAGAAGTTGTTGAGAGCAATGAGGTCTCCTCTCAGTCTCCTCCAGACTAAACGATCCCAGCTCCCTCAGCTGCTCCTCATCAGACATGTTCTCTAGACCCCTCATCAAGCTTCACTAGTCTTCTCTGGATCCACTCCAGCACCTTAATGTCTTTCTTACACTGCGGCACTCAAAACTAAACACAGTACTCAAGCTATGGCCTCATCAGTGCTGAGTACAGGGGCATGATCACTTCCCTACTCCTGCTAGACACACCATTTGTGATACAGGCCAGGATGCTGTTGGCCCCCAAATTCCTTTTCTAACAGACAGCTTTCCAGCCACTCCTCCTCAGGCTTGTAGCGCTGCCTGGGGCTGTTGTGACAGAAATGCAGAACCCAGCACCTGGCCTTGTTAAACCTCATACAATTGGCCTAGGCCCATCAATCCAGCCTGTCCAGATCTCTCTTCTAGCATTCCCCTTCTGTCCTATTCTGTGCGGAGATTCAGTTCCTCGTAAGTAAGTCATTCCAAACCTCTGGTCATCTATCCACTCACCCTCCTTTCAGCTTCACTCCACTACATGCTTTTTGGAGTCTGTTGCCCCAAACTACAGGGCACGGTTGTACCATGACCATGTACCATAGTGGCCTAATGATGCTCTTTGGTCTCTTCTCCATTCCTTTCCAAACATTTCTAATATTTAATTTGCTTTTTGACTGCTAATGAACACTGTGATGACGTTTTGAACTATGTATCTGTTACAGCTCAAAGATCGTTTATCCAACTGGTATACAGCCACCACCACGTAAAGTTTAAAAGGGAACAAAGACAATCCTATGTGCATTGTTTTACCTTCAATAACAGTAAAGCTCTCTGCCAATTTATCACCCTGTCACCAACACAGCAGCCTACTAAAACAATCTGCAGTCAACTTCTATTGATATATTCTGAAAAATAGCTATATGAAGAGTTTTAATACCACATTCATACAACAGCACAAACACTAGCAGAGTCCTATGTGCCTCCTTGGGAAGGGATCATCCTCAAAATATGAACCTCCTCCCACTCCTTGTCTCAATCTCTAACCTATTGTTTGCCTGCTAGAAGATATTCCCCTTAATCAGTGGCCTTGCTGAACAGCTTTTGAGAATTCATATTCAATAGACTAATACCAGATTTCTCATTTCCATATATGTGATGACTCCTTCAAAGAACTCCAAGGCATCTGTGACCACAGCACTCCTTGTTGCTCTCAATTTAGTCCAAAGACTTCAAATGCTCTCAGCTGCCAGGATTTTAATCAGCTGACACCAAAGCAGAAGTCACTCTTGCAGCCCCTCAGCAAGGGCTAACACTAAGAGTTAGACATCACTATAGCATTCTCGCACTAGAAACATTAATAGGGAGCAGGGGCTGCAAGAGAAGACAAAGTAATGCACTGTACTGGGAAATGATTGTCGAGAGAATTACCCCTTCACAGGATCATGCAAGCAAAAAGGCAAGGAGATCTGTGGATTCCACCTCTGGGCTGCTAAAGGAGGAGCTCCACCAGAGCTCTTGAGGTAATAGTTCCCAAGAGAAGAACTGCAAGGGGCAGCAGGCAACAAAGTAAGTCCACAGAACAGAGACTGAGGGCAATGTCAACAGAGCAGAACCTGAAGAGCCAACAGGGGCATGTCCTGGTTTTGGCTGGCATAGAGCTATTTTTTTTTCTTCATAGCTCACTTCTCAGTAGCTAGAAGAGTGCTGTGTTTTGGATTCAGTATGAGAAGAATACCGATAATATACTGATGTTTCTAGTTGCTGCTAAGGGATCAAAAACATTTCAGCTTCCCATGTCTTGCTAATGTGCAGATGCACCAGAAGCTGGGAGGGAGCATAGCCAGAAAAACTGTTCTGGTGTGATATTTTAACCTGAGGATTTGAGACTTGCAGAATGCAGGTGTTCACTTGTCTGTTGTGCAGACACTGAGGATGGAGATCAACAAGGCCTGCACAGCGAGAACCAGCCAAAAGAGGGAGTCTTGCGATGCCAGGACGGCTCTGTTTTGGCTAAAGAACAAGGCCAGATAGAACTAATGATGTCAACACCACCCTGCAAACAGGTAAGTCGCTTCAAAGCAGAATTCCAAAGGCCACAATGCCCAGAATGGATTTTTTGCCTCAATATCCCTATGTAACTACAGTCACCCACTCTCCACTCAAATCATGCCAAATGCGACCCCTGGGAGGGGGGGCGGAGATAGCATATAAGGAGGATGGAAGGAGTGTGTCAATGGAGGTAGAGAACAAACTCAGAAGCAACGGGCTGTGCTCCTTCTCCTTCACCCAAGACAGGGATGCCCTCTTGGTAAGAATGGTGCTCTCACATTTTGGTGAGAAATACCCAGGATAGTATTTTGCTAGCATTACTATCATATATTAGCGCTCTTGCAGGGAGTAAATTTATCAACGGCAACTCTGAATCTTGTATCTGTCACTTTAATAAATCACCTATTCTTTGTTATCTTGCAGATTGTCTCAGTGCAAGTCTTTAATGGGCCTCTGAAACAGACAAGCACTTAGCTTGAGTATGTGCCTTTCACAGCCACATACCTTCTCATGCAACACCTGGTCTGAGCTAAACAGAATCGATTCTGCTCAGTGACTTTACTTTTCTGCTAAGTCTCTTGTAAGTAACTTTCTTAAGTTAGCAGCACATTTTTGCACACAGTGTCTGCTACTAGAAGTGGTAACCCTTGATGTTTATAGTTACTACCAAGGATTGGTATGCAAAGAGGCTCTTGCTTATATAGTAATCAAGGTCACTGCTAAATCTTGTGTAACATGTTGGAGGTGCTGGGAAGTAAAAGGGTTGCAAGGAAGTAGAAAGACTGCACCTCTGGGGAAGAATGGACAGGACAAATGACCCAAACCTGACTAACAAAAGTATTTCATTCCACATACGTCATATTCAGTATAAAGCTCAGGGATCACAAGGGTTAAGCCGTTTTTCTCTTCTTCAGTGGCCAGCATCCAGGGGCTCCAACTGTTCTGCCTTGGATTCCAATCCTGTGGTCTTGAATTCAGCTCCTGTATCTGGTTCCCCTCTGCCACTGAGACTTCCCTGTCACCTACCTGCTCTGCAGCATTGTGGGGGGGGCAGTTTGGTTTTGTATGAGCTTTATATATATTTGTGTAACATTGATTATTTCATTATGTCCTTATTAGTATTATTACTGTTTATTAAAGCTGTTTTAGATTTCTTTTCCAGTCCATAAGTCTCCCTACATTACTCCCTTTCCTCTTCCCTTTGGGGAGGGAGAGGGGATAGAGAACATCTGCCAGCACAGGTTCAGAAGCAGTCCAAGGATTAGGGAGCTGAGCACAAGCAGAGAAAAATCTTTAGGATAAATTGCTCAGTTGTCAGAGTTTGGTAAAAATAGATTTCTCTACTTCTGTCCTCCAGGAGTAGGGTAAGAACATACCTCTGGAGTACAAAGGCCTACTGAAGACAACTTACCAAAACCAATCTGATGATCCAAGAGTCAGGATTATACACTTGGTCATTACTGCATTTAAAATAGGTACTACTCCCAAGACTTCAATTCCCATTGAGAGGGTCTCAGGGACAATCCCATCAAAACAGATGACAAGCAAAGCTTAAATTAAGGTGTTAAAGACTGGTCAGCACTCACTGCAGCCCACCTGCCTCAGACTTACCTGAAGAGCTCCCCAAATTTACTTTTGAGGTGACTGCAGGAGGTATACAGGTCGTAGAGATAGGCCAGGATACAGCGCTCTGCCGAGGGGCCGTCTGAGCGGGTCATGCCATGTTTCACCACCCCACACAGACTGTATAGAGACAAAAAAATGCTGAAGCAACATGAAATGAAAATCTGGAGTAATCTCATTACATAGATATCTTCCTGAGCTCACAGCAACAGTGCTCTGGGTAACATACCCTGTTCCCTGCAAATTCTCTGAGCTGAACCCTCAGGCACAAAGTTGCTCCTTTTTAGGAAGGACAGTTATGTATCCCTGCCCCTTACAAGCCCATAGAAGATATATGTGAGGGGACATGAGGGGAAGATTCCCTTACCCTTCAAAGACCTGAGCCATCTGATCTTGGTTCAGTATAAGGCAGGAGTGGTAGTGCCGCAACACGGCCACAATGCACAGGCACAAGCTGGTGGTGTAGCTGCCAACAAGGTCGGAGGATTTCAACAGCAGTTCTGCCTCCACCACGCTCAGTTCATTCAGCAACTGCACCCAATGACAGAAAAACCCTTCAACAGCCACAGGGGTAAGGTATGGTCAGAGATGGAGCAGGTACACCACACCCACAGCCTAAAGGAAAGGGACTGGCAAGCACTTTCTACCTAGAGATGCACCCCTGGAAGAGCTAGCATCCCATACTTAGGCACTGAGGCTGTACACGAGGTGGTCAGTGTCTGGGTATCAGAGGATGATTGCAAAATGGCAACAGATAATAGCAGGCAGCTTGTTTGGTCATTCGAACCTGCATAAGTCTCACTCAGCTCCCTTTTTAAGGCTAAAAGCATCACTTCCATCAGCAACCATAGCAAGGTTTCAAGAGACACCTGGCACAGGTTGCAGAAACAGCAAGAGGATTTTAGCAGGATCCAGAAGGCAGCCTCTGCTGACGTGCCACGGATTCTTCTGCTGCAGAGACAGACAATCCCCTTCTCACTCAGAACAAGGCCTTGCTGCAGCCAGGGCTAAAGATGCAACGCAAGCCCTCTGGAGGAGCCCTAATGCCTCTGGAAGAATAATCCTCAGAACAGAGCATGTAAGACTACCTGCCAAAACCAATCTATTCCTAAGAGCTGCAGTCTAGGAGCACTGCAATGACCACATAAGCTGACAACCTCAATGACACGTCAGAGGGTCACCAATGATCCTAAGAGCAGCCCAACTACTGCAGCACAGACCTGCTCTCTTTCAGGCTGATGAACCCCTCCCCAAGAAGCATTTCAGCACACTGTGCTTACCTGGATGGCAAAGTCAATAAGACCACTGATATTAAGTGAATACTCCATCAAGTCAAATATGAACTGCACATGCTGCACCAGAGGCAGGTGGTATGACATTCCCAAGGCAAAGCTGGTGATCTGTTCCAAGACGTTGCGAGATACCTGCAAGTGCAAGATGACAGACAGTGTTATCTCCTCTGACAGAAGTCCCTCAGTAGGCCCATCTCCCTTTCCCTCCAGGAAGCTGCTCTCAGTAATGCAAAGGGACACAGTCAGGACCCAAGAAGGACAGCAGTCTAAGTTTCCTACCTGAGATGTGACTTGGTGCTGATCAAAGTGGGAAAGGTGCTGGAACTTTGCAAAGATATCTTCAGCTGTTGGGAATGCTTCTGGCTTGCTCTTTTTCCTCTTCTGTCCTTCCTCTCCACCTACCAAAGTCGGAAAACCTTCCTCATTAGAGGAGGGCTAGACATCAGCCATCAGCACCTGCCAGTCTGTCAGCAAGACTAGCCCCTGCCATGCAGCATGGCCAAAAATCCTGAGTCTCAGACCTTAAGCTGATAAGGATCACCTTGAATTCAAAAAAATAAATTGCTGAGACAGGATTTCCTAACTTAAGAATGACAGAAGGGTTAACACCAAGTATATCCCAAGTGAAGGTACTCCTCAGAGAGGTAGACTAGTTCAGACTCTCACTGCCTGATACAGCTTAACAGGCACTGTAGATTACATAAAAACTTTTCACTGTGAGACTCCAAACAAAGAAGTCAGTCACCTACAAAGACACTCTTACTTCAGAAAGGAGTGGCTCAGGCTCTACTAACCTGTCTCTGCAGTACTCTTCCTGTTTAAGACTTTTAGAATGTCTTTGGTTATTTTCTTGATTGTATGCCGAGCATCGTCCCGTTGTTTTCCAACCCCAAAAAGAACTACCAGTCGTTGGTTACACTCGTGACTGCATGACTCCTCCTAGGGAACGAAAAGAGACAACTGCATTAGCAACGATAGGCTGAATGCTTTGATCTTGTTTCACACCTGAATCTTCTAAAGGAAAAGGAAAACTTCATCTCAGAAGCTGCTCTGAGAGAGAAATGAGACATCTTAAGTGTATCACCTCCTGCAGCAGTGCAGGAAAGCATGACTGCTCCTTACCCACCCACAGCAGTACCAGAGGGAAACCCAGTAGCCTTATGACCAGAGCACAAGGCAGCAACGAGACCTCATACCTGAGGAATAGGAAAGTGTGTTGCATATTGGATGTGCCGAGGCTGGTCATACAGGGATGCTAACATTCCTTCCACAGACTTATCCTTCAGAAGAGGCTTTGTTTCCTTTTCAGGATCTGGTTTCTCAGGGGAAGGGCTGGCTTTAGATTCACAATGCATCGGAGGAGAAAACATCTAGGGAGACATAAGGTAGTTATGGAACATGGCCATGCAACAGTGAAGATTGCTGAAGGAAGGTACATCTGCTCAGGCCTAAAAAGGAGCAAGAAGAGGGAGAGTTGGAGAAACATCCAGTTCTTCAGGCAACGACCAAGGCAATATGCTAAGACACTATTCACGTTTCTGCTTCTGGTCCATGCAGCATATTGAGTTAAAAACAATAGGAAATAAATGACCATGACTTAGAATGTTGGGAATAATCATCTCCACAGATTAAGTGAAGATCCTGGGAAAGTCACATACCTCTGCACATCACACCTGCCCAACATGTACCTCGAAAGGCCAGAAATGGCTGAAGAAACTACCACAAGTTAGTTTAACTACCAAGTGCTTCAAAGCACTCTGCAAACATGAACCCTGCCCACAAGTATTTGGAAGAACTGTGAGACTGAAGAAGTACTGAAGGCCACATAGTATGACAATAGAAGCCTGTGTCTTCTCCCAGGTGATCAAGAAAACCTATGCCAACAGTAACTGGTCACTCCCAATCTCCAGGTGCTATCATAGTCATCCATTTCCCATCCACTTCCAAGCAGCCCACTTCCTATCATGCCCAAATACTGGGCTTAGCAGGGGCCAGAGATCCCAGAAATGACTGAAATTCACCCTACCATGATGGACTCTGAACTGCATAAACAGGCTATATGGACCTCTTACAGTGTCAGTTACCTTACAACCCAGCCCCTTCCACCATACTGGCTCTAGAGTAGAGAGGGAGTGCTCACCCAAAAGTGAGGCACATGCTGTCCCTGATCCCACTACAACACACAGACCTACTTACTGAGTAGCAGACTGAAAAATGCAGGGACATACCGAAAAGTCTGTCTTCTCCATGTCATCAAAAAGCATGCTGGAGTTATGGTCAATGTCCATGGGCTCAGAAAGACCTGTGTCCTGAGAACAGACAGAGCAGCTTTACATCTCAGTGATGCATCAAGAAAGTATTTGCATTTAATGGCCATGTTGGAAAGTGACAGCAATAAGCTAACACACTCATGGTGTCTGGGAAGTTGAAGTCTAATACACTGTAAACATCATGGACAGGCTTCACACAGCATCTTGTGATATACTGTTTTGCTCTGAGCAGTGCAAGATTTTCCTACCTATCCCTTTACACTCTGTAAGCCCTTTCCAGCCACTTAGAACATAGCCTTCTATTGTTGAAACTGAAATGCTAAGGAAAGAGGCTGGGGGAAGGAGAAGCATGAGTCACTGGTATATCCTCCAGGAGATAAAAGCAAGCAGGCTGCAAAGCTGGTAAAAATAGGAAAGCACAACACAGCAGCATGTATAGAAGGGCCATGGTGCTTGTGCTCTCACCTCTAGCTTGATGCCACTGTTTCCCTCTGTCTCCTTCCTGTCGTGCTCCTCTGCAGGGTCATCAAAGGGTGAGGGTGGGCGAGGCCCATGAGAATCCATGGCAAGATCACCCCGAGAGATGAGAGTGCACATGTAGATGTTGTGAGAGAAGACATCATGTCGGATTAGCTCGCAGAACAGAAGCACCAAGTTAAAGAACTCCACCTTCTCATTTTCCTTCCCAGGATCAGCTGAAATGACAGCACAGTCAGTTAGGGCTATCAAAGTTCTTCTGCAACAATCCGAGCAACACCAGCCACCTAACCTAGGGACAGAGAAAGTATTTCCAGAGATCTCAACACAGTAAGTGACCACTACACAGTTCTGAGATCACAGCAGGGACTAAAGCAGAAAGGCCAGTTTCAACAGGTAGCAACCAAGTCAAAAGCTCTCGTTAGTCTCACAGACCAGACACATAAGACTTCAGATGGAAGTGCCATTCCTGGGCGTACAAACATTTGCCTACATCAATCAGAGTTGCATCTTGTCCCCCTTAATCTGTCAGTTGTACTTGTACTGAGAGACTACTACAGAGCTTTGACACTTACTAGTTAGAAATCTCCCTCTAGTTCTCAGCCCAAATTAATTCCCTATTAGGCTACACTCATTCTTGGCCAATGCTCTGTGAGCAGAAGTGCTTCTGCATTATCTTTCAGTCATCTGGCCCTCCAGGCTACTTTCCCTCCCTCCCAAAGGTATGCTCTCAACCACAAGGAAGCTAGAAAGAGTTTAGGTACATCCAAGACCTACAAACAAGAGAATACCACACAAATTCAAAGTTTCCAGGAGTGGGAAAGCTAGAATATGTGACCACAAGTTCTTATTACATACATAGCATAGGAGCTTGAGTGTCAAGAAACTGCATAAGGACATCCTGAAAGACAGGAGCACTGGCTGCTGAAAGAGAGCCTGAGGAGATAGAACATTTCTCATCCACAACTTCAGAGTCCCCACATCTCTGTAGAAACACAAAAAAGCACAAGCTGCTGTCACAGAGGAGAAACTCACTATACATAAACCCCAAAAAAGAAATCTTTAAGAGAATTTTCCAATCTTATGCTTATAGGAAAGCCACTATATAGGTTTCTATAAGCTACTTCACAGTCTTCAAGTATGTCCGTATTTGAGCACTGCAGATCACCTGCCCTCAAATGTATCCAAGCAACAGGATACACATCATTCCACAGGCTCATTTATGACCTTCTTTGGGCTAGGTGGAACAAATACCATAATTAATAGCATCAGTGTTAAGAGGCACTGTGCTGATCAGCCTTTGCCTTTTGATGTAATAGTTTGATATACCACTCTCTCCTTTACCACTGCTTCCAGGAATAAGGACTTACCTCAGCCTCTAACTCTGCCTGACGCTTCTCCAGGAGTTTGGCCACAACCATAGCCCTGTGGCGCCCAGAGCGTTTATAGCTGACAGCCCACTCACACAGCAAGGCTACCACTGCATCATCATCTGGGGACATCTGTTGAGATACAAGCACTACAGAGAACCTGAGCCAAACAGTCCTACGTCCACAGGCTGGACATAATAGTGAGGCTACTTCCAGTAGCGCACAGCCTGAAGACTTCCCTTCTAACATGGAGGACATATTGTCAAGCTAGAGCCCTCCTGCTCTGTCTCTGCTTTAACTCCACTTTGCAACAGGAGGTGATCCACACGGAGGTGATCCACAGCCCTTGAAAAGTCTCCAGACTGGCTCTGCTTCAGAAAATCAGCTCTCTTCCAGCAGGACATCTACATAGTACTAATCTTAGCACAGGGTGAAACACAGCTTTGCAACAGCATTATACAAAGTACACAAACTACCAGTCCTGCAGCTCACTTTCAGGAATCAATGGGTTGCACTATGGTCCTACACATCATATATGTGTTACCTCCCTAGCTAAGAAGAACTTAAACTGTGAGGTCCCAGACTCACAGGCCTCACAAAATCTTTTTCAGTGGAGATCACATTCCTTGGCCAAAGGCTACTACCTAGTCAGCTCTCTTCAGACACAGGATGGTAACTGTGGAACATAAACAAGAACATAGCCACATTCAAGACCAGGGCCCAGCAGCAAAGTACCAAGGTACCTCATGACTATCTTTGGTTGGACCCAGCCCAAATATCCTGTTATACAAGGAATCCAAAGAGTTGCTGAAGTCAGATCTTTCAAAGCTGTGACTGTCCAGAACTTCTAAAGTGTGCAAGACACGGCCAACAGTGAAACCTAGAAGTGAACAGAGAAGAGGTGTATTTGACAACTGGTACAACAGATTCCAGAGCTAAAGTTTTTGTAAGCTCATTGCTCAGGAGATTGCCTAAAAAGAAAGCTGTACCAGTAAGACAAGGGTCTACCTAGCTTAATATCCTGACTCTCACATCAGTCAACAGCAGACGCTGGGAAAGCATTAGAACATGGCACATATACAAGAGTATAGTTCTCTCGTACAGATTTCCAGCTTCCAGTAACTGAAACTCCCCCTATACTTGGGGAAATGGACCCATGTAAGATTTTGCATTGGAAATAGAGTCATATGTTTTTGTTTGTGGTTTTTTTTCCACTGCTAACAGCAAACATCACCAGCAGCAAATAGAGAAAAAAAATCAAAGAAAATAGCCAGACAGGAAGCTTCTCAGGCTAACACATGGAACACAGGGAGAGAAAATTTAACCTACAGCAAGTTACCTGCCGTGGTTTCCTGGCATTTGTCAAATGACCAGCGAACCTCCACAGCCTGGCCACGTTCCTTTATCTGCTGCTCAATTTCACGCAGCTTTGCTCGAACCTAAAAGCAATACACTTTTGTAAACATATAAAAGAATGCCTTAGAAGTCCTGTGTACAAATTATCAGAAAATAAAAGACATGAGAGTAAGTCTAGTCAAGGTTAGATTCTGGCCAACTTCCATGGACATTGTCTTGCTTATAGCAGAATAGTAGTTAATTCCTTGGGAGTAAGACAGCACCTCCAGCTCTGCTTATCACACAACACAAAAAGAAAATCCTGAAAGAACTAAGATACAGCTATTATCCTGGACCACAAGAGCTCCCTTTTTTGAAGGCTGATCACCTGCTGTGTAAAGACTGAATTTCCTCCTGGCATGGGCAAGTTGGACGGGGCTATAGGCAGGTGGTCCAACGGAGAGCCGGTCTTTATCCTGCTATCAGTCAATGAGTAGTGCCACACAAGGGCACTTGGGCAACACAAAATTATACTCTGCAACAGATAGAAAAGTCAGTATCATATCTCAAGAAGATCTGAACAAAGGATTATTATGTACACTGGGAGAAATGCATCTGTTTCCAGCCTGACTTTACCCAGTTTCAACTTCCAACCACTACATCTTACTCTGCCTTAGCTTCATCTACCATCTGTAGATCAGAAGATCTGTAGATCTATCAGAAGAGCTCTTCTGAGACATATTAAAAAAGTTCAGACAATCATTAATCAATATGAACTTTTTAACCAGGTTGTGTTCAAATCTCAAATCAACCAAATCTTTGAAGTGCATATGCTCACATATTTTCCCAAAAGAAAGCTCTGCAAGCAAAGGGTATTTATACTTAAGACATGTTTTATCATGCAGAAACAAACAAACAAAAAAACCCAAAGAAAACCAATGAGCTTTTTTAACTGAAAGTGACCAAGGAAAACTTATCAGAATTACAAACAGGTTATTTATAACTCCTGCATTGCTCTCTAGTCCTTGCAGATGCTTAGTACTAGTACTCCAGGAATTTTATTTCTACCCTGTTTGAGAGCTGCCTGGCTGCTTCTTGATCCTGTCAGGGCTCCTTGATCTCAAGTTTTTCTGCTGAGCTGCAGGTTCCCAAGCTCTGTGCTCTCTTCCTCTCCACCACCTCCTCCGTCCTGCCCTCTCTGGAATCTCCTTTGCTTTAAAGTGCTCCTTGCCCCTTCCAGGAGAGGAAATCTCCACTCCTGCAGGGACCCACCTGACCTAGTAATTTTCCTCTTGAAGGAGAAAAACACAACCATGAACATACACACTGAACTGAACTCACCCATCTCCCTCTGACATAAGGACAGCATGGACCAAGCCCCACAGTGACACAACAGCATTTACCCTTCAAACGCATATCAATAAGGCTTCAGCAGCCTTGCCCTTTTCCTGCAAGCTAAGTTTTAATCTATGCCAAACATAAAGATTATGAGTTTAGAGTCGTTCGTTTTCATAGCCTGCTGCCACTCTTCAGGAGTGGTCTGCATGAACAGTTAAAGAAGTGAGAGGGGTTGTTTTCTGTGCATGGTTTGTTAGGGTTTTTTGTCTGGTGAGGGTGTTTTTATCTGATGAGAGTTGGGGTTTTTTTTAAGAGCTCACAAAACTACAAAGCACTCTTTCATTTCTAACATATTTTTCTTTTCTAGGCAACAACCTCTTACTGACATACACAAGACGAATCATAGAAAAATTCAGGTTGGAAAAGACCGTTGGGATCATCGAGTCCAACCACTGACCCTACACTACAAGGTCTTCCCTAAACCGTATCACCCAACACCACATCTAAACGACACTTGAACACATCCAGGGACAGCGACTCAACCACCTCCCTAGGCAGTCTGTTCCAGTTTCTGACCACTCGTTCTGTGAAGAATTTCTTCCTAATGTTCAGCCTAAACTTGCCCTGTTGCAACTTGAAACCATTCCCCCTGGTTCTGTCCCTAATTACCTGTGAGCAGACATAATAACCCTTTCTTTCACATCCCCTCTTCTACAAAGACTTCCTATCCATGTGAGGTATCTATGAAAGAGCAAAAGGCTCTATTACAACCAATTTTTCTTACGCAAGTCAGTCAAGGCCACTGCTACAGCACTGCTGTCTAGTATGAAAGCTCTGTAACACATCAGCAAAGACCTGATCTTTGACAATCATGGTTTGATCTTTCTGTACTCAGGAAGTTGCTGACTCAGACTGCAACAAGGTGGTTTTTTTATGGCATATGTTAACTGTCCCAGTTGATCCCACTATCACCAACCACTACTCAAACATACCTGGAGGATGCAGCTGAGCCCATATACCACTGGCCGGTGCTGAGGGCACAGCAGTAAGTCGCTGAAAGGGCTGGGAGGAGGATTCCCTGCAGCTGGCTGAGGGGTGGGAGTTGAAGGAAGAGTATTCCCAGTCTGGGCAGACAGGATGTGGGGTGCATGCCCACCAGCACCATCCAGCTGCATAGCAAGCCTGCGGGTGCAGAAGTAGGCTAGACGTCTGGACAGGTATGCAGACTGCACAAACTCTCCAGAGTACTGTAGGGGAAAGGAAAGGGGAAAAACATCCTCATTACAAGCAACACAAGAGAAACTCTTGACCCTCCCATAGTAGTATACTGCATGGCACTGCTTTGTGGAGACAGTCCCTTTTACAGACAGCTCTTTAGCATCATATATCACCCATTGGCTACTAAGCACCAGAAAAACCCTTCAATTGCTCTGTGGCAATGACTTCATCTAACAAAATGTACCTACAACTAACCTTCCCAGAGCTTCAAAGGTCTGCCTAGAATCTGTTGCAAGAGAGAGACAGGAAAGCAGTTTCCATTAAGTGATGCACGAGGCTCACTATCACAGCTATGACATGAGCAGGAATTACCAAGGGCAGTGCAGGGAAACAGGCTACAGGAGAAAGAAACAGATGAGAGGACTAAAAAGGTATCCTTGCATGAGCTAAGAAGGATACTTTCTAGTGCTCTCAGTGCAAAATAGCTCATCATCCCTTACGCAATAGGAAGAGGACTGACAACAGTGGAAGTCAGTGCTTTCCTGAAGCAAGCCAGGTACATATTTCTCACCCGCAGCAGCAGGGGTAGGAGCATTTTCAGAAATTCATCTTCTCCTGACCGTATCTTCTCAAAGCACTCAAGGACCCACGTCAAGAATTCATGCCGGTCCAGCATGCCATCCTACACACAGATAAAGGCAGAGCAAATGGACAAAAGCTGAACCAACATCCACTGTGGAAAGGCAGAGCAGCATCAGCTGCTTGCTTTCTAACAGCAGAAATAACTCTAGAAGTTTGCACAGCTCTATACTACCCCTGTTCTACAACTGAGCTCAAAACAGCATCCAGCCCTAACAGTCTATTCGCAGAAAGAGAATATTCCGCAAAAATAAATCACTTTGCCTCCACCTCTCCTAGCTCTCCCTGTTACATGCCCACTCAGCAGCTCACTCCAGTCCCTCACCTGAAACATGAACATAGCTAGTTTCTCATTGTAGTCCCACTGCTTCAAAGCTTGTTCCACTTCTTGGGGCATTGGTCCAGATGGTGAACTGCAGCCTTGCCCTGGTAGCTGTCTATAGAACTCTGCAATTTTCTGCAGCTGTTCTGATAGGTACTTGGTGATGATCTGCGTCCATTCTGGAGAAGAGGAAACATGTTAGCACCAAGTGCTGTGGTAAATAGAAAAAGGAAAGAACCAAGTTGGTGCTCAGGTAGAAGTCCAAAAAAGTTCCTGTCATCTGAAAAGGGCAGAAAGACAAAAGAAGAAAAGCAAGTAGCACGATATTAGCTTTGGTTTGTGCCCTGGGGATGGTAGCGAGGAAGAGGCATCCACAGAAATAGGGAACAGGGGGAAAAAGTTCTGTTTGTACGGCATGGTTACTAAGATAAAATAAAGTAAGATAAAAATAAAATAATCCACAAACTTCAGCTGCTAATACTGCTTTTCAAAGTAGTGTAGTCAGGTCCTGTAGTCACAGCCACAGAAACCAGAAAACAGCCAGGAGAGCTCTCCTAGACTGCAGTAATCTAGAGCAGGCCAGGATGCAACAGATATTAGATATGCAATCCAGTAAGGCTTAATGAAACAGGGAGTAACATACTATAATTCTCTGGAAAAAATACTTACTCAATTGAGAGTAAGTTAATCACTCATCACTAATTTATAACATCTACAGTCTTCATAAGGTAATGTCTTTGTTTAGTCAGTTGTTCTATCACTCAATGACATCCCCATCCCCCACTCCAAGAAGGGAGAATTTGGAAAAGCAAAGGAAACCCATGGGTCAAAATGGAGACAGAGTTCATGAAATGATAATAATAATAGTCCCCAATATTGATACTAATACTAATATAAAGCACACAAAGTAATAGTCAGCCCATGTAGAGGTCGCAAGCAGTGCACTCCCAGTAGTGAACGCTAAATGTCAAACACTGCAAGTACCGCAGCTACAGAAAAAGCACAACAGTCACAATGAACAGGAGAGTAGGCCGCAGGATGAATAGGAGAGACTCTCCAGGGATGGCAACCACCGAGGACAAGAGACCGTCACCAATAAGCTTTCCAATTTATAGGGAGTGTGACATTTATGGTATGGAATACTTTGTTGGACAGCTTGGATCAGCTGCCGTGGCTTTTGCTCTTCCTGGATTTAGCACCTGTTTAACTCAAAACTGCTAAAGACCTTAGTCACTATGGAGACCTGCACACCATAGCTAGCCACAAAACCAAAGTATCTCACCAACTTTGCTCTCACCAAATCCGCTGCTGCAGTCTTCTCAAAAATGCAGCTATCCTGAACAGAAAAATAATTCTGACTTCATCCCAGAAAAAACAGGACAGGTAAGAAAAAAACCACACAGGTTATACAGCAGATGAGTACAGTAGAATTGAACCAGGAAAAAGAAGTAGGCTCTCAGGAAGTACTTGTGCCTGCTAAGACTTATTTTTCAACAGCATATTCTCACAGGTGGGCCCTGCTGTTCTAGACAGTTATGCACATCAGAGCACTAGGATTTGTGAGCAGGAAACACATTTACACAGATTTACAAGCTACCTCTTACTATTCAACTTAGTTACCGGACAAAAACCAGTGTGCCACACAAAGTTCTTACCAATGAAGGGATCAATGACATGACGCTTTTTCACCTTGGTTTCTGTGATGGCAGCATAGTAGGCACAAGTCATTTTGATGAGCCAGGCTGCTCTCATTACTGGAACTGTGTACTTCGCCAAATAACCAAAGACCTCTTCCTTCTTGCTAAAGATAGGCACCTGTAGCAGATTTGAGAGGAAGAACTGCAATCAAGGACTTAGATGGGCACTATTCCAAAGCAACCATACACACGGCAGGCTGTGCAAGCTGTGAAAAAGGTAGAAAGAGAAAAGGTACTGTGTTGCTCAGCATCCCAAAAAAACTACTGCAAGAATTCACCTCTACTCAGAAATCAACAGTACCAGAGCTGTTTTTCAGTATAAACAGACAAAACAAACTGAAGGAGAAAACATAATTACATCACTGTAAATCCACATCCTGAATCCTGCAAACAGCTTTGATGATGTCCTCCAAAGAGCATATAAGCAACTACAAAAGGGAAAACTAAGGACTGAGTCAGAAACACAGAGTATTTACTATACAGACTGAAGACTCTTCACTTTCTAAATGAAACAAAGTAGTCACACAAGTAATATCACGAGTAGTCAACAGAAGAATGTGAGATACAGGGAACCAAGTAGCACAGTGGGAAGGAATTCATTGATCCAAGCAAAACTATGTATGTGTTTACAGAGGAATGAGACAAATTCACAGAGAATAGGTCCATTTGGTAGGTATCTTGAAGTCCTTGAACCCATGGTTCAACAGCAAACTTGCTGTTTCCTACATTCTTCCCAACTATTCTTCAATGTCTCAAAGACACAAACTACTTGGCTAGCAGTTGATGCTTTCATGTCTAAGTCCACGAAAATTAATTAAGTCCATTACAGAAAGCAGGGGGAGGCCTTGAAAGGTTCAAGCTTTCACAACGTCCTCAGGAAACGGATAGACAATGGGTAAAGAAGGGCACAGGGACTAAGTTTATAAACTGATAGATCCTAATCTAAACAACAGGCCAAAGGCAACAGTGACAGCTCTTCAGAAAAAACATCGGTATCTTAAAATAAATCAGTTGTATAACACAAGCCAAAAGGCAAAGTTGAACACAGCCTTCAAACAACAGAAGAGGGACCAGTTCTTTGAGTGGGGATAACTACAGCCAATGCACTACAATTCCTGGATACGCTCTTCAAGCTTCAAGAGATGTAGAGAGAAGAAACTTCTCCAAATAGCAAAAACCTTCTGCTATACAAACACTCCGGAAACATAGATTAAATGCTCTGCTCTGGCAGTGAGCCTTTCCTGTAACATACCTTCTTAGCGAGAAGAGTGAGGGGTTTAGTTCCAGCCAGATCTGTGAACCAGTTGTTTATGGCACTCTGAGAACGCGCTGTCACCAGCCAAAAGTTGTCTTTCTGATTCACCTGGGGTTTCCGTCTTCCCGTGTCAGGCAGTGTATTGCATCGCAGCTTTTCCGCAATAATACTGCTAAAATTTGAACTGATCTGGAAAAAAAAGAAGAAAAAAAAGGATTAATTATATTTTACAAGTCAAAGACCTATTCTATGTGCTTTCAATTTTATTCATCATTCCTACCAGAAATATCACCAGTATCAACTTCTAAAACACAAAAACTGCAAATAATTTCCTTTTTATACTTGCACCAAGGAATGCTTCTAGATAAGTCATTCAGTAACCAAGCAGGGACTCCAAGCTGAGAGAGACTCAACCCTCTAAAAATACTCGTCAAACCAGACAGAAAGGCTTCTCAGATAGACATTAACCAAGGAAAATAAATATACTGTGCTTACTGATTGCCTTCCATGCCAGGTCATTACCAGTCCCCTTGTCAGGGAGGTCAGGAAGTTAACACCTTGATTTTAGAGTCTAGAAAAATGGAGTTGAAGCCTGTTTTATAACTTCCATAATCAAACTGCCAGATATTTCAAGAAATCTTACTTCAATTCTACCATGGCTGCAGTGTAAAGACTAAGAAGTAGTTTCCTGTTTCTGGTATCCTAGTCTTCCGTTTTAATTACAGAATATAAGAACTTCTAGATGCTGCAGATACAGATCTGCCCCTAAGACATATGAAGAAGACAAGAATGTGTGCTCTCAGAGGTGGGACACAGTTCCAAAAGAACAGAAAACTTTGATTCTGCCAGGACACAAAGTTAGGTCTTAAAACACCCACCTTAAACAGAATGGTCTCCCAGCTCTAGACACGGGTAAGGAATTAGACCCAGGCCTGTCCAGGACCCAGCAGCCTATCTATACAGGCATCAGTGCCTGCCGAACCCCCACACCATCCCTGTGGCTCTCACCTTTGCTGGGTTGAAGTTGACATTTTTGGCACTGCCATGCTCATCCCCAGAGACTGCCGGCTGGTTATTGAAGCCTTGCTTGACGTTCAGAGCAGTCAGCTCATCCTGCGGGAGAAGGATGATCAGCAGGGCGCGGCAAGGCCCCTCCGCGCCACACGCGCGCGGCCTCTGTCCACGCACGGCGGCTCAGCCAGCGTTGGGACAGGGCAAGGCGAGGGCACGGCAGGTCCCA